AAACACGGAGGTCCTCACAGGTGATTTTCCAAGTCGATCAAAGACAGAAGGCTTGTTGGAATCGGCAGATTCGTCTTCAACAGTGATATAATTGCTACTCAACCTTCTTATGGAGATGCGCACTGGTGAAGGTTGCTTGTATCCCAAACCTTCACGTGGTTGCCTCGTTGCAGCTTCTGATGGGAGCTTCCCTAACTTTGACGGCTCATTGGGATTGTATCCAGCTTTTGCAAATAGCTTGTAATTAAGCGTTAGGGTCAAAACCTTCATCTGTTCGCTTTGTAGGGAGTGCCCCATTCTGTAAACGATTTTGGGCTACAAACCCTACAAGCGGCTTTGAGGACAACTTTACTGCCTTAATTCGTTTTACCGGAAGAGTTAGCTCCTTTAGCGTGTTAGTTTGGAGATTAGATGATTCGCCCTCGTCTTTCTTCCTTTTAGTGACATATTGGAGCGTGGGACTTACTTTCTTTACAGAAGACGCAATACCCCCTTTATGAGATTTATTCACGTTGGCGTGTACCTCCTCAGTAACAGCTTTGGCTTTACCAAAGTCACCTAAGCTCTTTTAGTTATGGGCTCGTCATTCTTTCTTTTCATGCCATCATCAACTTTTATCTCCTTCACAATGCGGTTCTTCAAGTAGAACTTTGCATCGGCGAAGTGTGACTCTGCCTCGGTGAATGGCTCATCATCAGCAACTATCTTCTTCTCGACTTCACCCTCATAGTATTTTAAACATTGATGGTAGGTAGATGGAACCACTTTATTCTCATGTATCCAAGGCCTTCCAAGCAAGACATTGTATGAAGTTGTCGCGTCGATTACATGCAGCCATGCACTTGATTGCATATCTTCAATGGTGATTTCCAGCCTGATCGTGCATATGGCTCTTTGCCCCCTTAGTTGAATCCTTGGATCATCACACGACTTTCTGAGAGTTCGTTCATGGGAATACCAAGTTCTTTCATAGTGCGAATTGGCAAAATGTTCACTGAGGATCCTCCATCAACCAAAATTCGATTTACCCTTTTATCACGCATATAGCCAACCAGGTACAATGGGCGGTTATGAAGAGTGTCACCTAGCAGAAGATCATCATTTGTGAATGTGACTTTTTCCTCACAAGCATTAACTTCTTGAGGAGTGGACTCGATGAGCTTTTCTGGAGATGGTTCCAACGGTAGGTTATCACTCTTTTCTTCCCCTTTGTCAGCATGTCAACAAGAGGCATCGATACCCTCATGGGAAATCTTCGTGCGGAACCAACTTGGTAAAAACTCCTCCAAGGTCACTGGATTTCGTGGCTTTTGAGAATGGTGCATCTCCACTTTTTCTTTCTTCAAATGCCTAACTGGATTCTTTTTCGTTGATCTTTTTACCATCATCTTCCTTGTTGGTTGTTCTATCGATTCTTTTCATAGGCTCCTTTTGTGGTGCCTACGACGAGTCACCAACGTCCAACCTTCATCATCATCAGGTTGGTCGTCTTCAACTTTGTTATTCACCAGTAATTCTTCTTTTTTGATTCCTTTTAAACTGCATAACTCATCTAGACTGAATGAGCCAAAGGTGATAGAGACTTGGTTCGCGCTTGCTTTCTCATCTTCAAGCACGATCTTCTTTTCACGGGCCAAGTCTATAACTTTGTCCTTGAAGAAAAAGCACTTCTCCAGAGGGTGGATTACAAGTCGGTGATATTTGCAATAATTTGGGTCATTCATTTTCCCAGCTTCATTTGGTCGCTTCATCTCCGGAAGCTCAATGAGGTTTAACTCGAGGAGTTCTTCGAAAATGGCTGGCACATCAGAATCCAGGTATGGGTACTCTTTCTCCTACATTTCTTTTAGAGTCAACTTTCCACTTGGCTTATCTTGAAAAGAAGTGGATTTCATACTCTGCTTCTTGCTCACCTTTGTCGTGAACTTCATAGGTGACATGTTGACATTCATAGCTTTTTTGCTTTCAGACTTGGGTACGAACTTGCCCCACTTCCTGACTTCTTGCTTGTCATTCCCTTTGCGAGGTTCATAGATGGGCAGCCTTTTATTTCCAGCGGAGGTCATGCTCAATTCCATGTCATGGGCACGAGTTGCAAGTTCTTCAAATGTGCTAGGCTTGATACCTTGCAAGATGTAACGCAATCCTCAATGCATGCCTTGGATGCACATCTCTATGCCTGAAGCTTCACTAAGCCTGTTTTTGCAGTTGAGGTTTGCATTCCTCCAACGATTGATAAAGTCGATAACTGGTTCCCCCTTTCATTGACGAGTATTTGTAAGTTCTCTTATACTCACTGTACGTCTCGTACTATAAAAGCGATTGAGGAACTCTTGCTCTAGTTGATCCCAACTATCGATAGATCCAGCCTCGAGGTCCGTGTACAGTCAAAAGCATTTCCTTTTAGCGAGCGGACAAACTGCTTGATGAGGTAATCTCCATAAGTCCCAGCATTGTTGCACGTCTCCACGAAGTGCGCAACATGTTGCTTTGGGTTACCTTTACCATCAAACTATTGAAACTTTGGAGGTTGATAGCCAGCATACATCTTCAACATATCGACCCTTGCAGCGTACGGCTTTGCATATGTAAGGGAGGATTTGGCAGCAACTTCATATTTGTTCTTAATGGTTCCTTCAATGAACTCCTTCAGTTAATCGATTGGAATCATCCCTTCAGATGAGACAGGGATAGCCTTAGTGGATGTTGCTTGTCTTGGGGGAGAGTCACTCTCTAGAACTTCTGGGAGCTTGCCGGGTGCATGGGTGGATTCTTCTTCCATCAAGATTCCCACCCTGTCTGTTAGCTTGTCAATTCTAGCCTCTTGATTTTGCATGCATTTGGTCAAGCCAGCGATTGCTTCCGTCAAGTTTGCCAATTGCTCCTCCATAGATGAAGTGTTTGTCACCATGGCTTACATGATTGTCGTGGACGACGGAGAGTAGCATGGATTTTTACACAGATTGATCCTTGATTGGCTCACGCTATATGGTGTAAGTGGGGAGGATCCATCACTCGAAGCATCATCATCTTCCTTCATAGCAGAGTGCTTGGATCCGGAGAGGTCAAGCAGAGCAAGAGTTTTCTTGATCTTTTCAGCAACATCGCTTCCTTCTTCAGATGCGTTTGTGGAAGATCTTGCTCCTTTTGAGGATGAAGATCCGAAAATAGGGGTTGATGCGGACGGCACTTGGGGTGCTTGTTGTCCTAAAGAGTTTGCTTTGCTCCTCGTAACTGGTCCGAAGCTTCCAAAGGTAACATCGAGGATGCTTTCCACATCAGCGTAGAACGTAGAGTTAGCAGCCTTGGTGGAAGTTGAACCGGAGTTGATTTTCTTTGAAGCCATTTCAATATTCTCGGACTTTGGTGATTGAAAAGTTGAGATGAGAGGTAGAGATTATCCCACTTGGCGTGCCAGAATTTGTAAACAATAAATTGCGTCGAGAAAATTAAATCAGGACCGAAAAATATTGCAACAATCGTAGTATTTTATTTCGAATATTTGAGTGTTACAATCTCTATGAATCCTCTGATTCTACTCTTGAACAGTAAATAAAAGAGCTTTTGAGCTTAATCTTGAATTTTATTTTAATCCAAGTGCTTGAGGCCTGATCTTGATCTTGACGTATTTTTAATCCAAGGGCTTGTAGCTTGTTCTTGAATCTTCGTCTTGATCTTTTAATCCTTAGAACACTTGAATGCTTGTAGCTTTTAGAGATATCTGCAGCGTTTGATCCACGAGCTCTCTCTTGCTTCTTGTTATAACTTCTGGTCCTTTGCTGGGTTATGAAGACCCCTATTTATAGTTGTGGAAGGGAGGAGTTATGATAAGAACAAACTCTTTCCGACCAATCAAATTGAAGTGTGACATGGCCGCATTTGATTGGCCGAAACATGTCACTTGCACACGTGGCGCGATTTCATTGGCCTTTTAGTGTGACTTGGCATGCCTTGTCATTTTGACATGTGGCATGATCCTATAGGCTCTTCCGTTAAACTTGGCGCGCCACTTCATTTGACACGTGACACCAAACTGGGCCTCTAGGAAAATGGCATCTTGGGCTTAACGAAGTGGGCTCATCACTTTAGCCCAACTAAATGGGCTAGCCCAATGTATTAAGGCTTATTTATTTAATCCATACATATTGGACTGATATAATCAATTCAATTACATTAGCCCAATAAATTTATTTGAACTAATATATCTTGAATTTAAAATATAGTCCAAAATATTTTATGGATTTAATTCCAATAAATTTTATATGCCTACAGATATCTTTATTTATTGAGCTAGCTAAATGAGAATAATATTTATCATGTTCAGGTTCTTTTAATTGTTTTTTATAATTTCACATAACTCAAATGAATTATCTAATAATATTTATGTAATTTTTTTAGAAATTAGGTATTTATTGATAGAGGTACATGCGTAAAGCGCATACCCTAAAGACTAGTATAGTATAAATAAATATAAATAGATATAGATTACTCCTATCATGATAATCTCAATTAGTTACATATTATATACATAATTACTAATTGTATTTAAAGTAATATGCTAGGCTCCATTTTTTTTCCATTATAAGCTTCAACCTTAGCTAGTTTTATCAATATCTTTAAGACCCACAAGGCACAATCACCAAAATTCCTCAATTACAACTCCTTCATTCTAAAGTTTATATCTTAACTTTTGAGGGATTTGCTGAAAATTCGAGCTGATTTTGGTTGGAATTTAAGATTGAAACTCGAAAAGGAAGATATAATAAATTATATAAATATGTATTTTGTATGTTAGTTATATGTGTTTGATCGAATTTTGTATAACAAAAAGTGTATAAAAACTATATATAAGTTGTATATTTTGGCAAATTCTGTATAACAAAATACTATACTCTAAATTATATATTTTGATTGAAATTGTATGTAATTATAAAACAGCTTAGCTACTTTTTGAAAACTCAAAAACCTAGCTAAGGTGGGTAAATATGTCTCGACCGAAAAAATCCAAAAAGTGAATTTTAAAGCCTCGCATTGAAAATGTCCATGAGAGTCCGCCAGCGCTGACTACTGAACCTGAAATGGCAGAAGTCTCGAAAAATATCTTCTTCCCAAACACCATTTTCAACCTAAACCCAACACCTATTTAATATTCCGATCACCGAATAACATCTCCGGCTGCCGGAACCCTACCCAATTTCCCAATCTTCACACAGTAATTCCCAAAACTGCCCTTCTGCGCAACTTTTCATTTTCCCATGGATTTGGCAGAGAATCAGGAGAAGGTAGAAGAGAAGAAAAAGGAGGAGATTCGTGAGCCCACACGGTTGCGCAGATTGTTGGGGATTCTTTTCTTTTTGTTTGCCTTCTTTTCACTCTCATTTTCGCTGCTTTATTTAGCTGTTTTTCTAGGGAACCTATCCATTTCCAGTCCAATTTCTCTTCCCTCTCAATGCAAGATTGTCTCTAGCAGTAAGTTGAATTCTCTTTATTGCTGAATTTGGTATGTTTTTCTTTTAGAGCGTTAATTCCTTTTTCTTCTGAATTTTGTTTGTGGGTTTTTTGCTTTTGGAGGCTTGTTGGTTTTGGTTGCTAAGAAATTGTGGGTATCTGAAAACGAAGTTAAAAGTTTTTAGCATCATATGGATAAAAAATTCCCTTTTTGAGCTTGATTGGAGGGGTTTGGTTTTTAAGTATGTGTGCTTACTTACAAATTGTGGATCCCTGAAAGACTTAACAAATACTGGAGCTCAAATGGTTGAGTAGTCCTTGTTGCTGTGTTAGCTCCCTGTGGCTCCGAACTTTGAACTTCGAGTTTGATTGTTGAATTTCGCCTTTTCTTTCCCTTCTTTTCTCTCTCTGTGTTTGTGTGCGTGTGTGTGTGTGTTTTACTGTTTTTGGTTGCTATGAAACTTTTGTTGAGAAGATTGATGGAAATTTATAGAGATAGGAGGAAAGGTTTCTAAATAATATTCATTGATATGGAGAAAGCTTATCATTGAGTGTCACTTAGTGGGTGCTAGAGAAGAAACAAATTCATATCAAATATAAAAATGCCATAAAGGATATGTAAAGGAGTAGTCATAAGTGTGAGAACAGTGGAACGAATTATAGCAGAACTTTTCATTAATGTGGTTTACACCTAAGTTTTGCCTTAAGCCTGCACTTGTTTATCTTAGTTATGGATGAGCTAATCAATAATATACAAGCTGGGTTCCGTGGTGCATGATGGTTTCTGCAGATGATTTCGTCTTAATTGATGAAACTGGAAACATAATCAACTAGAATCTCGAATTATAAAGAAGCATTTTTGAGAGCAAAGGTTGTAAGATAAGTAGAAGTAGTCCCATAAAGAATGAAATTAAATTGAGATAGATAAGATTGAAGTGTTTATATGCAGGCAATTCAGATATCTTGGTTCAATCTTTTAGGAGATTGACATGATAGACGGAGAAGCAACACATAAATTTAAGTTATGATGGTCGAAATGGAGGATGTCACAAGAGTTCCGTGCAATAAAAAGATACCTACCAAAGTGAAAGGCTCCCTATAGAATGTTATTGAGGCTAGCAAAGTTATATGGAAGTGAATGTCAGGCCTTTAAGACAAAATATCCACCAGACTAGCATTGTGAAAGTATGGATATTAAGATGGATGAATACAAGAATAAACAAGACTAGAAATGATCACTCTAGCAGATGGTACAAGTTGCAGATACAAAGTATAGAATGACATAAGGTCCCTGACATAGTTTTTTCATGTCCTATGTAAATCTACTAATGCTTGGGCATAGGTGCAACACTATGAAGATTGAATGTGTTAAAAATGGATGAGGTACATTGATATCCGAATGAAAGAAAGTTGTTCGAAATAGATACAATCTTTTGAAATTTATGTGGATTTAGCAATTAGCAGAGCACAATGAAAAAGGATCCATATAAATGACACTGACGATTTGAGATTACACTGGTAAGGTTTTGTTGTTGTTGGTAGACGTTCATTAGGTTGATGTTTGCTAGTGTTTGCCATGTTTTTTTTTGTGTCTGGTTAGAAATGTATATAAGTGTAGGGATATGCGAGATTCAAGAATCCATAGTTTTAAAGAACCCCTAGTCAGTCAGTCTAAAAGACGAATTATTGAGTATTCGAATGAATGGTGTCCAAATAGAATGGAATGGATATAGAGGACTCGAATAGCTGACCTTAGCTTCTAATTGCGGCATACTTGTGTTGTTGTTTGATTGCTAGGAAATTGTGGATGTCGAAAATATGGTTTAAATAGTTTGCTGACTCTTAAAGACGACAACAACTTGGAGAGAAAGGAACAGATGAGTTTTTGAAGGAAAAGCAAGCACTACACTGAAGATAAGATCTGACAGTATATTTTGATTATTAATTTTTTTGGTGAAAACTAGAATTTGTATATGAAGAGGAGTCCTTATATTCTTATTTTCTTTGGATAAGTGAAGAGGAGTCCCTATTACAGTTCATAGAATCGCTAGATAGATAGTCGGGGTTTCTCTTTTTCTTTTTGGTTTCTTCTTGAGAAGTAATCCGGATGCACAATCTTTGTGTGACGCTACGCTTCTATAATACAACTACCGTTTCAAAAAAGCCGACAACAACTTTGGTGTAACACTACTAATACTTTGATAATGTTTTCTTCGGGTCAACCTTGCTGTGCTTAGCATCATATGGCTCAAAAACTTTCCTGGAACCAAACGAATTAAATTGTTAACTTGAGTTCGTTTGTTCTCGACTTTGAGTAAAATTAGTTATTGGGAAATGCTAAAGGAATTTGGAAGTTATACTAGTACCATTTACTTGCAAAAAGGAAAGTTAGTAGTACCATTCCTTATGTATTTTCTGATTAATGTCTTTTAGGCCTATTTAAGAGTAGCATATTCTTTCAAAGTGATATGGTTGAGACTTTAGAGCAAAGTTTGTAGGAAAGTTTATCCAGAGTCATCTCTATCTTTGGCTGCTATGACAAGTTTCTGTCTCCCATTGCTAGTAAAGTACATTGCTTTTTTTTTTTCTTTTTCTTATGGGTTCTGAATATGTACAAAGTTTGATTTCATGTTTGTGTATTAATCATGGGTTCAAGAGGGAAAGCTTTTAGATACAAGTTACTTCGAGTATCTTAGTTCAACAATTGGCTGACAATTAATGGTTGGACTGGTGATTTCTAGCCTTCTAACTGGTGGAGGTTATGCAATACGTGTGATGTGGTGTCATGAGACTGTGAAGTAGCTACCGTGGTTTCTGTTGCATATGGGATATGGCATTCGGGCTGTTTCTTCTCAGGGAAAGAACACACACCATTTATTAAAACTATAAGGAAGTATGATGCTGGTCAGCATGTCTTTATTGGTCATTAGCTTCAACTTTAGTTATAATGGAAAAGTTTAAGTTTTGTGCACTGACGGTGTAAAAATTATTTGCAATCTTATAAGGTAATTACAAGTAAATCATTGCAACAAGCATTAATTAGTAGCCTGATAAAATTGTAACTAACATGCTAAGCTACAGATGGTAAAAAAGAAAATTTTACACTGTTAGTGCATAGAACTTAAATCCATAAAAGAATTAAATGAAACCTGCTTCAAATATGATCATCTCATTATACAAGTTCCTTATAGAAGCTAGCACTTCATGTGACACCTCTCTCTCCATATAGAATTAACATACAGATAGATAGTCTATACGAGTCCCATGGATGGATAGCAATCCCATCCATAATCAGTATCACCTCTAAGTTGGGATTATATCCCTTCTTGTTTTGACCAACATACCAAATGATCCCTATTGCATGTTGCAGCCGCAGCCTGGAAGCTTTTCCATAGGGTTTCCATGTAAGAGATGAATTTTCTCCTACTCGAACAACTTACTTAGACAAAACTAAAGGATTAATTTTCTCCATTGATGCCTAATTTGGTTAAAGCATGTTTAGCAGTAAATGCACTAGTGCATTCTTTTCTTGATGAAATACACAAATGCATTAATTTTTATACTTCCTGCAACTATTTCTGTAAAATTGCTACAACTTTGTTACAAGGAAGAATGACAAAATACCATATCCTTGTTGGCCAAAGGACAGAATGTCACCAATCAAAAAAATCTCAGTTCCTTATTGGCTACTGATTAAGTGTCTTTCACCAAATTTTGATGTGATTCAGTTAATTCTCATTTTATGTTTCAATCGAAAGCAATTATCTTATGTTCTTTGCAGGTGTGGATCTTAGGTCATCTAAAGTCTGTGAACTGGGTTTATTGAATTATAAAGCAAAGCATGTTCTTTACCCTTCTGAAAGAAAGAAGTTTCGATGTCGTTATGATTACTATTGGGCTTCTGTATTTAAGGTAACTACCACTATTTGTTGTTCCTTGAGATATTATTTTCCAGTTATAGTTCTTTTGGTGTACATGTTGATAAGTTATTAGTATCTGATTATCCATTAATGCGGTTAAATTTCTTGAAACGGAACATTGTATACTTGTTGTATGAGTTGCATCTCCAGGTTAGATTTGTAATAAAATTCCGCTTTGACAAAAAAGGAGAAACTTCTTGTACAATTAACCTGATATTATATATCTATTTCTTTTGGAAGGCTAATAATAAGTGGCTCTGTAACTTTTAGTTTTTAATAGAATTGATTGTGTTTTTGTTACATGTAAGATTCTAGTTTCACCCAATGTACCCCAACTTTCACTTTCTTTATATAAGTGGTGATGTTATTAGATTTCCTGACAATTATAATTTTCTTCCTTTTTCTGGATAAGTATTTATCCATTTCTTCCCTTCTCTGTGCCGTTCTCTCTCTTTCATTGGCATTCCATTAGTCAGCAGGACTTGATGCATTTGAAGCTAAAATTGCCTGACAAAAAAGAGTTCGAAAATTTTCAACTCGGAGCTATCCATGAATCACTTGGTTCTGACCTTTGTATGGTTCCTGGCCATGAGATGAAGGCATTTGTTACAAAGCATTTCTAATTCATTCTTACATGTTAATTTTGGAGAATGAACCAAATATGGATTACTTGTCGAAGTTGCTGCATCTTGTTATTTATTTTATTTTTGTGGACCATTTTATTTTGTTCTAATTTTGGTTTTCTTCTTCTTTTCTTTGTGGGGTGGGGGGTGGGGCATAGATACTTCCCTAGATATTGACTGTTCAGAATTGCTTGCTTATGCATTTCTGAAGAACAAAATACATTTTTACATGTTTATCCTAGAGAATGACTTATACAATTACAATAACAACTATGCCTCAGTCGCAAACAAGTATATGAATCCTCTCATGTTAATTTCATGCCAATGGAGATTGACTTATCAACAAAAAAAAAACTTTATACTGAACCGAATATGGATTACTTTTGAAAGTTGCTGCATCTTGTCATTTTTATTCACTTTTCTTGACTATTTTGTTTGTTTTAGTTTTGGGTTTCTTTGTTTTTTTTTTTTTTGGGGGGGGGGGGGGTCAATACTTTCTTAGATATTGATTGTGCAGAAATGGCTCAATTGCTTGCTTATGCATTTCTGAATAACAGGTTGAATACATGGATCATTCAGGTCAGGCACGACTTGCATTAGCAGAGGCACCTAATGAGGCCCTTCCATCTGATTGTAGACCAAACTTCTCTACTGCATGGTTGACAAAGGATAAATTCAAGGTAGATACTGGACATAGATGCTCACTATTTGAGTATGAGAAACAAACTTCTTAACATGAAATTTATCTCACTTAATCGTGATAACTTTTTTCTTATGCCTTCTATTTACTCTGGGAATGGTCCCTACTCCTAAAATTGATGACATGATTCCTTTCTCTATTAAATTTATATCTGGGGTGTTCCCTGCTGCAAGTGTATTCAACTCTGGCCGAATGATAACCTTAATTTTCACTTGTTACCTTTTAAATGAATTTAGTGTTGCATCCATGCATGTCCCCTATTTTTCAGTTCTGAAGATAGAGCTGTCAAACAACTGGTTTTATAATAAGTAAAGCAATGAATTCTAAAATTAATGGCAGGAACTAGGAATTTTGAGCAGGGGTATTTATCTGAAAAGGAAAGCCATTAGTCAGCATGAACAATTTTTGTCATTATTTCGATTTATATGTTTGTGCCAATTACTACATCAAAGAGTTTCTACTGTGATCTTAGATTGTTAGGAGGTTAAGTGTTCAGTTTGTTTATATATGCTTTCTTCTCACTGGGTAGATATCTGATGCATTATGTGAAGCATACAGTCCCAATTAATGATCATTAGAAGAAGAATCACTTTCCTCCCGTTCGTTTTCTTTCAAAATTTAGTATCTTCATGCTGTCATGCTCTTTTTTTCAGGTAAACAAGACTTATGAGTGTTGGTATACATTGGGAATATCTAAAGTGCACATATATGAAGATGGCTTTTTTGATTGCCAAGCAAAAGATCCATCAACTATTGAGATGTTTATTCGCTATTTAATCTTGTGAGTATTATTACTTGAGCAAAATGTTGTTCTTGTTCCTTCTTTAATGTGTTCATGACGTGATTAAAATATTCACCCAAATTCTAATATAATCAAGTAATAGTTCTCAAAAATTCTGGAGTTTTGTCTGTTGCCTCCTGGATCTTTTTTCTTGATGTGGAATCTTCTTATTGTTTTAATATTACTTGAAATCGTTTGTTAATCTGCTTTTATGTTGTTCGCACCACCCATACTGCTCCTTTTGAGGATCAAAGCCTAATAATATCAAGCAAATTGGTTGAGTCTCTCTGATCTGCCCATCTTTCTAATGTAAATTGTGAGGTTTCCCACTTGGTCTGCTAATAAGTGGTAAATATAATGCATTTCCTGCTACCCAGATATGATATTATCTTGATAATTGCTTTCTGTTTTTATTACTTATGCTGCATCGTTAGGTACTGGATACTCCCTCCTACTGCGCTCTAGTCTCTCTGGTCAGTTAAAGAAGTTTGGAAAATGTCGGCATGTGCCGTTTCCTGAATCTTAGTCATGCTTCCTAACATTGTAGACCTTGGTGTTTATTATACACAGGCCTTTCGGTATATAGGACTGTATATGCTGGGATTTCCATTATTAATGCCATTCGATCCTGTTCAATGTTTGTGTGTAACGTGTTCAAGATTTTAATATGGTCGGCTTATTGAACTATTTTCAATGCAAAAATTAGGAAAAAATTAGTTTCAATCATTGAATTATCAAGCAAAGTTATATGAACATTCATCAAATTTGCGTAATTTGAAATTATACGGCGGTAACAAGATTAAAAAAGAAACTGGAATATGAACTTTAACAGGGAAAGAAGGAAAGGAAATGAGCAGAGGGACAAGGAGAGATCTGGATTGTAGATCAACGGAAAGGGAAATGGTCAATGAACCAATTGAAACCATAAGTAGGTGGTGATCACGTGGTTTTGCCTTTCAATTGGAGGTGGAGAAAGGGAAGAAGATGAAATTGTAGCGCAACAAGAAGGAAAAAGGAACAGTGGGATCACAGTGAGAAGGGCATCGGGTTTGTCTGACAAGAATGGACTTTGATCCGTCTACCAAACGGCCCTTTACGGAATCTCATCCATCATCAAGCACCTTTCCAAGCACCAAGTTATAAGATGGTCTTGCTTGCTACTTTAATTCTGTTGCCTTATTATTTATGCACTGTTCTTTTATTATCCGTTGTTTCAGCTTTGAAACTCGGGGATAACGGACCCGCCCTTCTAAGTTCTCTTCTTAAATACTGAACTTGCTGCAATAGCTCGGTGTCAAACTCTTTGCATTTATTGGATGAAATGGTTTCCTCGAACTCCTTTTTGAGATTAAACTTACCTTAGTTTGGGATTGAGGCACGGAACTCGTTTAGAGGTGACATTCTCTACACTGGTAATTTGAACTGAACATGAATAAGCTCAAAGTATGGAGTTAGCTTAGAAACAGTAACTCTGCATCTGACTTTACCTGAAACTGGAATTTGATATATTAGCTTTGAAATTGGTCTCTGTTGCTTGCTAAAGCTAACTATGCATCTGACATTACTTTAAATTGATCAGGACTGAAATGTTAGCTCATATATTGTAGTAGCCAGCCAAGAATAAGTACGATTCCTTGAGTCCTGGTTGTCAGTTTGCTATGAGTTACCGTTTCCATATTTCTTTCTACACCCACCCTATAGGTTTGTGAAAAATTAAGATCAAACAGCATGAGGGTCACACTCGCTAACATTAATAATTTTGGTTTTCTATTACCAGCCTTATTCATTTGTCTTAATTGGATATTATTGTGGCAGGTTCATGAGGATATTAAAGTCTTGGTATGTTAGCGGGGCTTCAGCCTGGCACTGGAGATGGGAAGCTGTAGCTGGAGTTATTGCTGGTTTCTGTACTTCCATGATATCAATCGTTTTTTTTGCACTCTTACAAAGGTTGATCTCTCGCATCTATCAACTTTCTGTGACAAGAAGGCTTACTCTGTCTCTCAATAAAGTCCGGTTAAAGAGAGTTTGTTTCCTGCTAGCTTACGTGTCATTTAGTAGTTGGTTGGCCATTCAATATTTCAGAAGGATCGGCCTCCCTGAAATTGCAGTTCACTATAGCATGTAGCACTCATTTTTGTAGTAGTGCAGGAGCAGGTTGATCGGCAGTTCAATTGGAAATGCAATATCCTTGTACCAGTAGACACAGTTTTCACATAGTGTTTCTATCATATTGTTGTATTGTAATTCCTTGTGTACAGAACAAACTGCAGGAATAAATACTTGTAAAGAGTTATCCCCGAGCAATATATTGTGCACGCTTGAATGAAGTCAATACTGTAGTTCTCAGGTGACTATTCATCTTTGCCATTCGAGATTTTGCTCTTCAGAACAGATAATACCTGAATCTGGTTGGTTACAGTGGGATCAGGTTAACTAGGAAGCTTGTAGCTTAGCTACCACCTTGATGCCTTTTACTAGGAAGCATGAGCATATTCTTTTTTTATTTTTTATTTTTTTTTATGACCGAGATATCCATGCGGACCAATGGTTCATGGTTCGGAACTCGGTGGATAACGGGCCCGCTTCTCTACTCAAACACTTAAGCTTTTGTTTGTGGCAGGATGACATGCGCCTTAACTCACACATCACGTGTTGGGCTCTTACTACTAAACCAGAGCCCTCGAACAGAAGTATCAGCATATTGTCAGTTACTATCCGTGGGAGTTTTATGACTTTGTTGTGATACTTGTTAAAGTATTAGTTATGGCTGTACTGAATCGTCTTTTCTGTGCTAGAGCTTTGCATCTTTTGCTTCACCAAGTTTACTGTCCATTGAATTCTACTGGCCCCTAGATTTTCTTTGGCTTTTTATTGAGTCTGCCTGGTTTAGATGCTCAAACAAGATAGAACAGTAACTTTAATTCTGTTATTTAACTGATTGCACCGGCCATATTCTGGTTGCTACTTGATTTGTTCTTCCTTTGTTTCTTATTCTACCACTGCGTTGCCGCACTTCCTGAAGAACATTCCCTTTAAGTACTAATACTAAAGTAGAAATGCTGATGTATTTATTTAATTTACTAATACTATAGCGTTGGACAACATCATCAATTAGGAGGAAAGAAGGATAATTAGTCAGGTAGGGGGTTTTATTGTTAAAAGAAAGAAAAAACATGAAATACTGATAGAAAATTCAATTTTCAACAGATATTAGCCGAAAGAAGTTGAAGAAAAGAAGGAAATAAAGAAAACATTTTAAAGCTCCACAATAAATACATAGGCATCTACAATGTACTCACAAAATGTTCAAGTTCATCGCAAAATCTAGATTTCTGTCACTTTAAATGTTCTTATCACTTGATATTTGGTATAAAGTATAAACTGAAAACATGAAATATTCAGTTGAATTCAGCCAAACAACCCGATAGAACTTCCTTAGAAAGCACATTTGGATTGGAGCTGTTAAAAAACAACGCTCGTAACCTTGGCAGTAGAGGTGGAGGCATCTAATCTAAAACTTTCCAGATTCTGAGATGATCCTCTCAATTTCTCCAAGAAGGCGCTCTTTTTCTTTGACCAAGTCCTCGTTCTGCTTCTGCAGCTCTTCAATTTGCGTAGTTTGTTCAGAATCCTTTCTGTGATTAGAAAACTCTGATTATCAAAGATTGCTTTACCTTTCATTGTCATTGAATATATAGTACTAATAATGCTAAGATGGGGTAAAAATCCAACAAAACTACATCTTTGATTAGACAACAGTAAAAAAATGCATTCGAGCAGGATCTCATTGTACTTGATTTCTAGGTACGCTACTGAGCTCATTTCTTGTTTTCTTCTTCTTCTTCTTCTTCTTCTTCTTCTTCTTCTTCTTCTTCTTCTTCTTCTTCTTATTTTTTCCATACTTATGGAGTCGGGGATTTTATTAAACCACCTAAGCTAACAAGCCTGAGACATGGGCTTTGAGAAGGTTATAATGGAACATGTTTTGAGAAACTTCTGCATATTTACAGAAGAAAATTGTTTCCAATTGGTAAAACCAGTGGAGTGCTTATACCAGCCAACCTTGAAATCTGATGCATGATAAACCTCATGACATGCTCAATTGTTACCTGGTTTCCACAACAAATGGAAAGCATGCAAAAAGTTAATACTAAAACTAGGACGATCGCTTTTTGCTCCTTTCCAACTTCAAAAACTTGGTTTTGATATCATACAGTGTAACTGACTTATCAATGGAGAAAGCATTAGTTTCCAATCCCAGGTCTATAGTATCTAGTGATCCTTGCATGTTTGCATAATCACAGATTTGAAGAGCAATCTCAAAATTGTTTCACGTAATTGATAGCTCATATTAAACATGCTTGGAAACATGGATAGATATTATCAATAAATGAAATTTGTTTCTTCCACAAAACTGAAGTTTGTAAGTATGATAAATTTGACGCGTGTTTTTGGCCTTTAATGCATCAGGTTTTGTGTTTGAACGTACCTATTCATAAACGCCAAATTAAGTTTAAGTGAACGGACTTCCTTCTCCAGATTCTCACAACGCTTCAAAAGGGATTGCATATCTGAAGGAATTGCTGGTGTTAAATTTCTCTCTTTGGCTTCTGCCATTCTGCATCAACATATATCGAGACCAATATGAGGGTAGCAGTTTTCAAGCATATGAATAGACCATCAAGTTATAGCATCAGAATAATGTGCATAACCTTTGCAAGTACTTGCAATGAAAAGCATGCATGTGTTGTTTTCCATTTATAGAAGCAATAATATCAATCGAGGCCTTACAGAACATCAATGAACTCCTATAATTTTCAAAAACTAATTCTGATTTCTGCTATCAAATCATTACAGGAAAATAAAGGGTGGAAGTCACATGCGTAGGCAGAACATGTGCTATCCACAACTAGTTTCTACATCCAATAGTTTTACCAACCAATAGAAAGACTAATGATCACTAAAATGAATGTAGTAAAATAAGATTCACACAAGTTCTGAGAATAGTTCTACATACTTCCGAGACCGCTCCACCCTTCGCTTCTTTGTAGGATCTCCATTTTCCGCTGCATTGGTTTATGCTGGTTAGAAGTGAACGGCATGAAAAGCAATTTTGTAACAGCATGCATTTCATGTTGATAGGTTTATAGTACCTTAGCTTCATGTTTTGATGATCTAACAAACTTACTGTCAAAGAATCAGATAAGGAACCTGATACACTTGGTACACAACTCAATCAACGGATTCAAGCTTATGTGAGTTGCTATGACTTCAGAAGATAAAGAATCAACACAGGGACCTGATCCCCTTGGGTTCTCCTGACAACAGTACGAAGTCAACTCTCTACAGCTGGAAAGTGACTGCCTGCACTGAACACGCAAACAGTGCAACAGTCGCTTCTCACTCGGAAGGACCTTGTACCAACCGAGTGACTACATCATTCAAGTGATGTCATCCAAGTTGTATTAACAATAAACATTACAACAAAACATCACTTGAACACTTGAGAATTCATTCAAGCATTCTAAGCATCTGACAATCAAGCATTCAATTCTCAAGTGCATCAAGAACAAAGTACAACACCACTACGAACCAGTTCATATAGTGAGTCTCTTGTATGTCCTTAGTTGAGTTGTAACTTTGTAATTGTTCTTCATTGTAATTCCTACTGTGCTAATCTAGAAGCTTTAATTAGGAACCCTTTGTAAACCATAAACTTTTAGTGTTTGTGTCGTGACTAGAGTTAGTCATGAGTTAAAGTCTTTGTAATAGGTGTATTGTGAAGTGGCTTGTAATAGGTGTATTACAAGTTAGTGAATGATTAAGAGTTTAATTCCTAGGTTGCATAGGTTGTAATCTAAAGATTGCTCATAGTGAAGTTGAAATCCTACCACTGTAGGTCGTCGTTTTTTTATCCCCTTGAGCAGGGATTTTTCCACGTAAAAGTTCCTTGTTCCATTTACTTACTATTGCATTAGCCTTATCTGTGGAAACCTATATAGGACCTGGTCTTTATATAGTTTGGTGGACTCATATATTCTATCAATTAGTATCAGAGCGGGTTATTTCTATCAGGTTAACACCTAGAAAGGATCCCCATGGCTGCTCCACCAAACTTCGAAGAGGGTCAGTCTACCTACAGACCACCTAGGTTCAATGGCCAATATTATGGGTGGTGGAAGACAAGGATGCATGACTTTATCATGGCTGAAGATTCCGAGCTGTGGGATGTTATATGTATGGTCCTAATGTCCCTAAAAAAAGGTCGGAGATCCTGCAATGATAGTGCCTAAGACGAGGAAAGAATACAACGATACTGACAGGAATGATGTGGAGAAAAATTTTCGTGCCAAGAAAATTTTGGTGTGTGGTATAGGTCCTGATGAATACAACAAGATTTCAACTTACCAATCTGCCAAAGAGATATGGGAAGCTCTACAAACAACACACGAAGGAACTACTCAAGTAAAGCGATCTAAGATTGACATGCTCACCACGGAGTATGAGCTCTTCGGAATGAAGGACGATGAATCCATTCAAGACATGCACACTCAATTCACTTCCATCATAAATGAGCTACACTCGCTTGGTGAAACATTCCTAGGAACAAGCTCGTGAGGAAAATTCTCAGCGTTTTGCCCAGTTCCTGGGAGAGTAAAGTGAATGCCATTACTGAAACAAAGGATTTGCAGGAGCTGAGTATAGATGAGCTGGTTGGGAATCTGAAAATCTATGAAATGAAGAAGAAGAAGAAGGACAGGGAAAGAAGAGAACCAAAGAAGGAAAAGAACCTGGTACTCAAGGCAGAAAGCAATGACTCAAGTGGCGAGGATAGTGACATGGCTTACTTAACCAGAAGGTTTCAGAAAATGGTTCGAAGGAATGGACGTATACCCAAAGAGGGGCAGTTCTAGCAAGCCAAAGAATTATGACCTTTGTCATAAGTGTGGAAAACCAGGGCATTTCATCAAAGATTGCCCTCTCCTGAAGCAAGAACACTTCAAATACAACTCTGACAAAGCAGCCAAGAGGAACCCAGTTCCTGATAAACACTTCAAAAGAAAGAACGTCGCTGACAATGTNATCGACTTACAAAATGTGCCCATAATCTGCCAGTTAAGACAACTTACACGGCTGAAGATTATGCGAAGTTGTATATCAAGGAGATTGTTAGGCTTCATGGTGTACCAATATCTATTATATCAGACCGAGGAGCTCAATTTACGGCTAACTTTTGGAGGTCTTTTCAGAAGGGTTTAGGCACACAAGTGAATCTCATCACTGCATTTCATCCACAGACTGACGGACAGGCTGAACGTACCATTCAGACACTTGAAGATATGCTACGAGCATGTGTTCTAGATTTTAAGGGAAATTGGGATGACCATCTTCCACTCACAGAATTTGCCTACAATAATAGCTACCATTCCAGTATTAAAATGGCCCCATACGAGGCACTATACGGGAGGAGATGTAGATCACCAGTTGGATGGTTCGAAGTCGATGAAACAAAATTACATGGGCCAGATTTGATTCACCAAGCCATTGAGAAGGTGAAAGTGATACAGGAGCGATTGAGGACGGCACAAAGCAGGCAAAAGTCTTATTCTGATGTCCGACGTCGTGATCTGGAGTTTGAGGTTGGTGATTGTTGCAACTTAGGTTCATAGTTTTACTTAAACTTTAGGTCAAATATTATTAAGCTTTTCTCCCAGTATTCTTGGAACTACGGGGTGATCTACCCTCCAAATTAAAGATCTATGAGTCTAGTTTCCAACGCATTAAACCTTTTATCAATACGGCATTGGAGTAGAGAGATATAGACATTTTTGCGAGACTGCACAAGCTGCTAGGTGACAAGTAGGTGGGTCACCTACTTGGTTAAATGATAGCCCAAAAAGAGGCAATTTCGGGTCAGACAAAGAGCTCATTAAAAGGCTTATCTCCTGCAATATATCCCTCATTATATTTCACAAATAACCATACCTAAACCCCTGCAAACTTCCTCCCAAAAATTATCCACAAACCCTAATTGATTTTCCCTCTCTTTCAAGTTCAAATTGGGGGTAAACCCTAGAGTTTGAAGAACCAAGATAAGGGCTGAGTTATCCAACAAGTAAGGTGAGTTTACTGCTATATTTCATACATTTATTCTGCTGTGAATTCATGGTAATTCGTTCTATACATGTAAGAACTCACGGGACGGTGATCGGAAGCCGTGAGTTCGAGTTATTCACTTGTAGCGGACTGTTTTGTGGATTGTTTTGTGTTGCTGTTGTACTGCGTGTTTTACTACTATTTTGTGGAGTTTTGGAGGAGGAAGGGTGTGGAGAAACACCATATAGATTTAGGGTTGTGGGCTGGTAGTTCTTCGTAATATTTCCGGGTCGTTTGACACGACTACGGTGGCCGTCGTATGTATGAAGTGATTAGGTTGTGCGTGGACTGTTTTGGGAGGCTCAATATGATTATTATTGATGTTGTTTAGGCTGTTTGGTGATTGTTTGGAATTGTGTGAAGTCATATATATAGGGGAGGTGCTGTCCGTTTCATCATAAAATAGGTTGTGGTCGATACATAATAGTTATGACGCTTGAATGGTAACTATAGTATCGTTTCTCTTATTGTAGACTAAGGAGTCGTGAAAATTGCATAGCTTGAGATTGGGGCAGTATATACAAGGTATGTGAGGCTATCCCTTTCCTTCCTTTGCACGACTCCGATTGTACATAATGTAATGAACGAGCTTCCAAAGATACTCTACTCTTAGAAGCTAGCAATACTTACATTGTTTCCCCTCTTATGGAACGAATGATGTTGATGTTGCTTCTCTTATTCTTATGTTATCAATGTTATTGGTACTTCCTGATTCTTATAAGGTT